GGCACAAAGAATTAAAATAAGAATGCTTTCCAACTCGCAAATGTTCAATAACCAGGTTTTGAGTTACTTGTTTGAGTTTATTTTTGTGATCTGCTAATAAACAACAAACAATTCTGTAGTGTTAACAGAAAACATGGGCAAAAGCCATGTGGAAGGCCTGGCCATCAGCAGTGAGTTCAACACATAGCAGGTGTTGTCCCATCGCAGGCCTGATGAGCACAGGCTGCCACCCAAGCTGGATCCAGTACCCTCACTCTCCAAGCTCCCACTAGCCCATGGCTCTGGTCAGTAAGGCGCTCTCTGCAATTTTCTTCTTGTAAATCTTTTCTCAACTTCCTCAGTTTAGCCCCAATTCCTCTCCTTCCCAGTCCTCACAGACCCAGGACAACCCCCGCAGCCGTCATGCTCTCATTACTACAACACAGTATAGGAAATTGCCAGAATTCTCATAGTCCAAACTACACTTTGAACCTTCCTCCCCATATCACAAATGCCAGAATTTTGCTAAACCCACTTCTAAATATAAATCACACAAAAGAGGGAGAAGTGTCACTTCTCACTTGCAGTGAATTCATCTCATATTGTGTCATTCATGGAGCCATATTATTGTAAATCTATAGCTTATATCCAGATTACAATAAATAATACATAGCTAATCATTGTATTTTGGCCTTCACAGTTTTCACATGTTCTTATTCGTGTAAAACTAGCTTTGTAAACTCTCCATTATTTGCTCCCTTTCTCTCTCTCCTTTCACTAAAAACAAACAAACATTCAAGGGAAATAAAATTAGAAGACCCAAGTGCTTGAATTCACATTTCAGTAAGAAAAAGTTTTTTTCATTCGTCTGCTCCAAGTGAGCTTTGGAAAAGTTTCTGCTACAATTCAACCCAAAGAGGAGACTGGTCAGAGAGGTTCTATATTTCACTCTTGTCCTGTGCTCAAGGCCCCATCCCCTCAGAATGCATTCTCTGTAATACACCATCACCTGCAGATACACACCCAGACACATACACACCCTCTTCTCTGGTCTCCAAAGGGAGAAAAGAAGCCTAGAAGCCCCATAAAATAATTGCTATATTAAAAAGAACTGGCAGGCGAGAATAATAAGGGAGGGTGTCAAAAGTGAAATACAGTAGTAGACTTAAAGGGGAAAAAACCCCTACAGTTCTGTGATGGGGGTGTTAATTGAACACAAAGAGAAAAGGGAAAAAAGAGAACAAAAGGGTGTTAAAGAAGCAAAAATAGAGGGTTTGTTGGGTTTTTTTAAACACACACACACACACACACACACACACACACACACACCACCTCCTATGATTTGATTTGCATTAACTTCGGTGCAGATAATGCAGAAAGGAAAACTGGCTGAAAAGTGCCATAGACAGCTATTAGGTACTAAAATTAAAAGCTATTCACAACAATTATAGCTATTCATTGCTATCTATAAATATTCGCTTTAGTAAATGGCACCCAATTTTCTGTATTTTCCCAATTTTCAAGCCTGCATGATTTTGACATGGAGGGATTTTATTTTTACAAAAATGAAACATATTCAAGGTGTTTTTAAAGAAATGCAATTATGTTTGACTTTTTTTCCTCCTCTTGCATCTCACTAACTTCACATACACACTTAGACAAAACCTCAGCCTATTGCCAATATGTCAGGAGACAAGGAATGTTTCTTTTAAAAAATAAAGACAACTGTGATATTAAAAGATCTAAAACCCTATATTCAGTCTCTGTGTACCCAAAATGAGCCAGCAGACAAAAGCCACATCTGAAATACACATTTCTGCAGGTTTGACAGGGTTTTCCTTGCTGTCTCAGACAATTGCCACTAGAACATTTGTTAGTATTCTTTCCCCCCTCCAGCATTTATTTAAGAAGCAAGAAAGTAAGAAGGTATCAAAATAAAAACAAAAAACCCAACCAAACAAAAACTATCTACATTCTAAAGCAAAAAAAAAAAAAAACCAAATAAACCAAAAACTGACACATGGGTTTGGTGTCTCCCCCCCCCCATATCCAACAGTAATTTCTGACTTAAATACCCATCAATCAACTGTAATTTAGATGGTGCTGCCTACTTCATGTGTTGTGCACGCATGCTTCCTTAAAGTTCTAAAAGGTTGGTAAGATAGTATTAGCCGGTTTTACCATTTACTTCTGAGTGTTTAAAAAAAAAAAATAAAATCTATATCTGCAAAAAGCACACACAAACAAAAGCAGAATGGGAACACAAGGAACAGGTCTGTCTGGGTGTCCTGACTTTGTTATCATGACCTAGGTGAGGCAAAACAGTGAGCCATGGGATCAAAAATAAGCAAATCTCATCTCACGTCTAGTCACCTGGACGATGGACAGTGCTGGAGCCAGTGCTGAGCACGCATCCAGTGAAAAAGCCTTAAAAGGACCAAAAGAAAAAGTCCCCCAACAGTGAAGGAATGTAGGTGAGCTGACCTTTCAAACATTTTTTTTTTTCACTCCGAATTTAAAAGACTAGAAAAATAGTGCACTAGCAACTCTCATAGACACTTTGTGTAGTTCCAAAGTATCAAACACTGGCACCGTAGGAGGAGGGTTCAGCAGATCCTGAGTAATAAAGCAATTGTGCTTCAGAATCAAAGAATTCTTTCCCACACACACCACAACTGACTCCTACCTTTAACACAGAGCACTCAACATTCCATGAGAGGTTTTCTCCTTCTCTCTATCCTTCAATACACCAATTGAAGTAGACAGAGCTAGGCCTTTTTTAACCCTCTCCAACTTTCTCACAAGATACCCTCAACTGAAAACTCTGTGTGTGTGTGTGTGTGTGTGTGTGTGTGTGTCTTTCTCTCTCTGCAAAGAGAGGGATCAAGATTTTCATCTTTTTCAATTTACATTACTTGATAAACACTTTTAAAATGTAGCTATGTTATTACACTAGAGACAACTCAGAATAACTTTAATAAGGATCTTTTTTAAAAAAAGCGAAACCAAAATTTCCCCAACATGAGATGTGACCAAAATTTGACAAATAAAATAGATAACTTGACTCCAAATTAGGCCACTAGAGCATTATGCCAACCAAAGGACTCCACTTCCTTTCACAGCACTTCAGCCAATATGGACACAGAGCAAACTCCTAACTCACACCTGAACCGGATTCCCATTCAGGCTGGCCCACTTTGATCTCCTGTCTCAATAGGTTTTAATTAGGCGCTTGGGATTAAACACCTTGACCACAATGTGTATTTAAGTGGCCTGACAGGCTTCTTTTCAATAAAAATCTGATAAAATGTCTTCAAAAATAGATTCCCTGTAGCCCGGGTGATCACATATGCCTACGTTTTATGAATCAGAATCAGCAAGAATTGAGACTCATTTGAAAACAAATTTCAACAAACCAGATATTCGAAGGAAATCAATGTCTGAGATCAAAAAAGCAAAAAAGAACAGAAGTGGGGAAATGGACAGAAGAGAAAATAAAATACACACACTTAGGTTTCCTGCTCTGTGTTAATAGGATGAAAAGGGGTGGGAGGGGGGGATGCTAAGAAGTGTGACAAACTGAAAAAGCTGCCTGGATATTTGTCTGCACAATCCATAAATCTCTTAAAGGTGCTCTGCTGCTAAATCACACAATTAACAGCTCTACAATAAGGTTCGGCTTTGGCAATACAACCTGAAGGTGTTAAAGGTCCGCACATCACGACTCAGGTGCTTTGTCTGGGATCCTGGGCACACACCACAAACAACCTTCTACCAAGGGCCTGCTTACTAATTTCCCATACATCTAAAGACACAAGTAATTACATATTCAACCAACGATCACATCTTGAAACTATTTTTTTTAATAAAGGAGACCCACAAATAGCTCTAAAAAAAAAAAAAAAAAAAGCCAGCCATCCTGCATGCCCTCTCTACCCCCTCCCTTTTTTTATGTGTAACTATCAATGTATATCAACCGGGCATGCAATCATATTTATTGTCACTTTCATTCATGTCATGCCCTTGCTTATATGGTTTAGATATGAATTATTGACTGTTACACTCCTTGTTGTGAAAAATAAATAAATAAATAAATAGGATGGCAGGTACTTTGCGCTGCTCTAAAGCGAGCGAGTCGGAGCCCAGCTGAAGCTCCGCTTTATGTAACCACCTCCTGTCCCTCATCTTGATACCCCTGCTTCAGACTACCTTCTCCACTCTTTGCTTCTTACCAAGGAGAGATTTTTTTTTTCACCCCACTTTGGAAAACTAAGGATTAAAATAAACAAACAAGAAGATGTTACTAAATGTCCCTCCCAGAGCATCTGTTGTTTAAAGAACACCTCTGATTGATGACTGCTATTTTTTAATTGTTGCTTTAAAATTTAAATGCCCTCCTGGGATGTGTTATAAGAGTGGGAGTCCAAGAGATAAAGTCTAGAAAGTAGAAAATCAACTAAATGAGTGATCGCGTGGCATTCCACGCTGCTCTGCTCACAGGGCACTCAGATGCCGACAAGCTAGCGTTGTCCAGAGCTTTCCACAAAGGTGGTTGACAACATTCTCAGCATTAGAAGCTCCAGTCTGATGCTTTGTGTAATTACAAGGGGAAAAGGAGAGGAAGCTTGAAATAGTTTAACCTTCCATGCCCAACTCCAAAAGAATTCACAGTTGTAAATATGGGCAAAACATATCCCTTTAGGATATGAACGTTTACTTTCACATTTCCCCCCAAAGGTACACCGTTTTGTAAATTTCCCTTCAGAACCTACACTGGAGTCTTCATTTCAAATAGGCTAGTAGGAGTTAAGGAAAAAGAAACCAGCAATGTTTGGTAACTGTCAAACTTGGCGCTTTCTTTGAAAGGAAAAAGGGTTAGTGCATCCTATTAGAATATAGGATCAATCTTGATAGCCCGTCTAGGCTGAAAATATCAATATTTAAATAACAAGTGAGCAATTGCTGGGTAAGTGAGTCAACTGGCCAAAGAAAATGCTTAAATGTTGGAATCACATTCCTACCTGTTTTTTCTTTGATTTCACACAACACATTAAACAAGGCAGGCTTCATTCTGTGGCAGTTTAAAGCATGTTTTCTGCAAGAAAGAAACAACAACACGATAGCTTAGGTGCACTTTTCAAGATCAAACTGCTGATAACGCATCGGCTACAAGAAATTTGAACATTTAGCCAAAATTATATCTCAAGCATAACTCTGTGACATGCTTCAATTGTTTTATAGCATAATATATAGTTCTGCCATAGAAAAAGATACAATGTTAATTAGCAAGGAGAGAGTAGGGATTTAACTACAGAAGAAAACTAACCTAAATTATGCCCATTTAGGCTGAGTTACGTTGGGATTGTTGTGGTGGTGTTTTTTTCGTTTGTTTTTTTTTTTAAGTAGTTTAATCAAAGTGGAATTCTGAAACCAATAATCCTTTCCAGGGCAATGAATCCTGAAGACCCAAGCATGGATTTAACAGTTTTGTATAATCTATGCAAACCACCACAGCCTAGAAGCTGTCTGCCTCTTGGTCTCTGTGTGTGTGTGTTTTCAAATTTAATTCATCCATGTGTTCGAATTCATTCCGCAGATGCCCCTGTATTCTCATAAACACAAGATGTTTGAAAGGTCTTCTGAGTAGAACTGTCAATTTATAAAATTTTCAGTCCCCCAAGTTAAAGAGTATGGAAATGCATTGCCAGGGGCAAACATACCCATATGGGGAATAAATTCATTTCTCTATGTTCACATTATGCCTCATGTGCACACATCGCTTATTTGCAGGTGTTGAAATTCAATTATTTACAATTAGAACCTTGCACCCATTGGGGGGGAAAAGAAATACAATCCTACCTTTCAGAATGGTCATTTACCTGGTCTATGTGTATGTGTTTGCATTCAGTATGTACTTGAGGAACAAAACAATACCTTTCTCTTTATTTTACAACACTGAATCACTTAGCAGAAGGATATTGTTTTGGAAACAAAATACTGATCATATCAGCTATTAGTTAAGGGAATTCTGTTCACTCACTCACTCAAATTAATGTGGGAATATAAATGGATACCCCTGGCACTTAAACACATGCACTTCTTATTTTCATTTCATTGAAAGTAAAAAAAAAAAGAAAAGAAAAGAAAGAAAACCCTGTTCCTATAAAGAACAAAAAATCAAAAGCATGCTCTATGTATTATACAGGAAAAGAAAAACAAGCTCAAAAGTCAAAGGCATATACAAATGAGCATACACATTGTATCTAAAACATTAATGGTTTACTTAGTAAACTGAGAGGGTGTGACTGGTAAAAGTAAAAAAAGGACAAGGTATTTGCTAAGTGGAGTTACATTGTTTAACCAAAAAGAAAGCTGGGTGGTCATTGGGTCAGTTCTCAGAGTAGGGTGAAAGGAAAAGAAAACGACTTCTTTCATGTACCAATGACTGCTTTTGCATCTTTAAAAAGTTTTCATTAATTACAGTCTTATACACAGGCCCAAGTTTCACCAAAAATTCTCCAAAGGTTTTCTAGAAATACTACATTTCCAAAAGACACATGGAGTGAGAGAGGAAGAACAGAAAATTTCTCCATCCCAAAACGGTATCTGATCTCTCTCAGCATAGAGGCCATTAAAAGGGGGGGAGCCACCAGACCAGAGTTGGCCTCAGTTTCACAGAAAGCAGAGGGACTAAACAGAAAAGTGATGGTCATCCATTCCCACTGGCTTTTTCCACTTTCCAAACTTGTTATTAAACCAGATTTCTGGTATGTCTGAGTGTATTTTTCTGAAACAATGTAATGGAGAAATCTGTTCCAATTCAAATGAGAATTGTCAGTAGGAAGTCCTCCACTTAGCACACCTATTAGCTTTTCCTTAGATAATAATAATAAAAAAAAAAGCACCAACTAATTTTTGAAAACTTTTTCCCATTTAAAAAAAAAAATCGAACAGGTTACATCTTTGAGTACTTCCAAGTTTTCAAGCACCGGCAAACCTGAGCACTTCTGGATTTACAAGTTGCAAGTGCTTACAGCTAAAATAAGACTGTAATTCATAACATCCATGCTTTGAGCTGCTCCTTCTCATTTTCTCAACTCAAACCCCCATTCCCCTTAGACACAAATACACAGAATGACATTCTCTCCATACAATCAAGCCTTCTGAGTTAGAGGAATTGTGCATATCCATGTTTAAAAGATTTACAAGAAATACTTCTGAGATTTAACAAAGCTGGGTAATTAATTGTAGAGGCATATGTGGTCATTAGATTTTTAAAATTCTTTCCTTCCAGACCAGCATTCGGCAGGCTGTGAGTTGCCATTTGGGATGTGTTTTATTTAGAAAGATAATTTACTGTAAAATCCTAGAGTGAAGGGCTATAGAGACTGGCATGGATTAAGTTGAGAAGCAACATAGTCTCTTTATTATGTTTTCTTAATGAAGATCTTAAGGCCTATACCATTGAACTACATGAAATTCACACAAGCTTTCACTTCTATTTATTTGCATTCTAAGTGGTCCTGAAGGAAGTGGAGTGTAAGGGGCATGTTTAATTTTTGTCCCCCACCTCTGGTTAAAGAATCATGCATGTCTGTGTCATAGAAGGTTAGTAAACCATCTCCAATTAGGAGACAATAAAGTTATACTAAACATCTGCGTCTCTTGTAACTAGCAAATATGTCTAAAAGCAAGAGGATCTTCTTTTTTAGGGGGGCTGGGGTAGGAGAAAGGACAGTGTGAAGAGAATGCAATGTATCCTCTGATAACTAACTACTGACAAAGAAATTCTGTTTGGGTTTGTTTTCTTCTGAGGGGGGGTTGAAGGAAGAGGGAAAAAAAGCTTAAAAATTAATTTTGGAGTGGGTAGTCAAGAAGTAAAATCAGAAGTCACTTAGGACCCAAGTAAATTTGCTAATAAAGTGTTCTTGGGACATTTTATTTTGTAAGGCTCCGGAGTCTCTCAACAAGGAGGCATGGAAAGCTGTTCAAAACTTGACAATTCTGCTCTCTCTGATACTTTCTTAAAGCAGTAAAAAGTACCGAGGACCGCTTTTGGATCAGTTGGCTGGATTTTCGTCGTTACTGAGTGTTAGGGTGATTATATACGAGTATCTTTAGATCCACACACATACACACACACGCAAAACCTCTCTCTATGTACATCACGGCATGGGCGATTACACTTTCGATAACAACGCTCTTTTAAATTTTACTCCTCCGCCATGTAGTTGCTCGCCAAAATGGGAAAAGAAATAACATTTAAAAAGAAAGCGCTGTAGTGACTCGGTTCCCATTGTTTCCCCCTGCGAGAGGGAGAAAAACAAAAAACCCCAAGAAAGGAAAAGAAAAGCCTCCATCTCACCTGGCCTGCGCCTCATCCAAACTCTGGTCTGTGATGGTCATAATTTGCTGTAAAATGTCTCCAATGTCCTGCTTCCTCCCGCCCTCCCCCTCGGTCCCTCCGGCCCCATCCTGCAAGTGCTGGGACAGGCCGGGGTGTCCAGCCATCCCGACCCCAGCATGGGAATGCATCAGCCTGGGCTGCTCGTCCATCTCCAAAGGCAACGGCAGCCCCCGGCTCTTCCTCTTCTGCTCCTCGGCTCGGCTCCTGGGAAGCACCAAGGCTTTTTATCCTTCAAGCTGTCTTCAAATCCTTTTCAGGA